TGGGGGAGGGGGGCGAGCGTGCACGTACGAACGACCGCGTCGCTCGCGTCCTGCCTCCTTTCGCACTTCGCCTTCGTAAGGTCATTTACTTTTACCAGCAGCCTTCCTCAAGGTTCGCTCGCGCCTCTCCGACCACGCGTCCTTACGTCTTCGGGGATCGAGCAGGTGCGTCCGACGGACGGCCCATATACCGCAGGCCGCTTTAAAAAAAAAAAAACCCTCGCGCGCGATTAGGTCGCCCGATTCTTACTTCGATCGAAATTGTGCTTTCGAGAGAAAGTACGATCTCAAGTTCGAGTGCGTGCCCCTTGAAATTCTCCTCAATCTCGCACGTGTGTGCCCGTTTTTTCTTCCTTTGCGTTCGTTCCTCGCGCAACTGTACGACAGCTTGACGGATCCCCCGCAATGCGTGTCTCATCGATAAAGCGAGATGTTAAATAAAAATACTGACTGTGACGTATTGTCAACCGCGCGCGCGCGCGCAACGCTTCAAGGTGAGACAAGCTGTGCCGTCGACGAAAATCACGGCTCACGGTCGAAAAATAATCGCTCCACGATTGATGGCAAACGCGAAAATAATTTTCGTCTGCGTATACTATTACGATCATACGGGACGTAAACGTAAACGAATCTCCGTAGCCAGACGCGCGATTGATGGGGCCAATCAAAATCGCGTGGAAATGACGAGGACCGAGCCTATCGTTATATGACTGTGTACAAAAGAGGAAGAAACATTTCCTAACTGGTCGTTAGTGACATTTCGAGAGCAGAACAATAATGATCGAAACATAGAAATCTCTTTAAATTCCCAGTAATAAATAACAATAATCAAGCTTTTTAGTCGACATTAAACGGAACATGCCTCAGTGATCGAATTGGTGAGACGCCCGCCTAGAGAGCAGGGAAGTTTCAGGTTCAAACCCTGGCTGAGGTAATATGTTTCGCAATAAAATTTCTGTTAAAAAGCTTGATTATTAATGATAATCGAAGTATAAAAGTAACGAAACGAATTAATATTATGTATTTGTCTCTCCGGCGAAAAGTATCCTGTCCTTCGTGTGGCAAACATTTGCGAAATTGCAATAAATATTTGTATATTATAAATTATGAAATAACGCTTATTCCGCGTGTTTATCCTACGTTGCAATCCCGTTCGAAAAATTATATATACAAATAAAATGACCTTAGCAACCGTGCCGCATAGCTTGCCGCGAATTTATCATTGACAAAACGCAAGAGGGACGAGATAAATTCGCGCGCATGCAGGAGAATATACAATGAATATAGATACGGCGCGTAGTTCCAATTCGACTTCGCGAAGGTAAACACACGGTGATACACGCGGTGTCGTCGTTCAGGGACTTAACGCCGCGATTTGCTTCCAACGTGTACGAGGAAATATACCTTGCGATCGGCGTGCGCTGTCATTAGCTATCAATGCGCGCCATCCGCGCCCGAGCGAGCGCGCGAACGCGGAATAGAATTTGTGAGCGATCGGACGCGACGATAGTTAACATTCACGCGGCGTCGGGTCTTTCAGGGTCGCCCGTGCGTACGGTGCGTGCACTATGTTGCCAAGATATATAAAGACGAAAATACGCCGCGGCAAAGCAATAAATCGATCGCAAATTTTCCGGAAGTTACTCAGATACGTCGGGCCGAAGGGGAAAAACCACCGACCAAAATCTTGTAACACCAATGCCCACTAATGCCCAGTGGGGCATTACTTTATCTTATTATCTTATTTTATCTCTATAATGTCCCAGCAAGGCCTAATGTCCAAAAACTGACCATTTCGGAGAAAAACATACATTTTTATATAAAAATCAAGGGTTTTTTAAAGTAAGCTTTAACAAAGTTTTCGAATTGGAGATTCGTAACCGAGAAACGACGTGCGTTGCTCCTTTAATTTCTAAGGCTCCTTTAATTTCATCAACGTCGCTTGGCTTTAAAGCTTAGCTTAATTCGTTCTCTGTCTCTTTCCAACTGTTACTCTAGAAAGGGACAAACATGAATTGAACAAAGTCTAAGTCTTTTCAAGCGTTCTCGGTTACAAAATTTCCTTCGTCGCTTTGCAATTCTCTCCCATATGCAGAACATGGATTTCACACAAGCCGATATTTAATCTTCCGGAATCGACCGTGACGGCGCGTCCACGTGGTCGCAAGGTCTCTCGCATGTATACGGGGCCCTTATGGTGCGCGCCGTCGTAATATTTATCGAACGTACACATCGGTTTTGGCCCTCGGCCCTGGGCGCCACGAAGGTCGCCACGTAATCGCTCGATGAGGAACGAGAGAACGTGAGGACTGAGAAAGTAGAGTAGAGAATTTATTGCTGCGCTAACGCGCAACTAACGCAATAATTTACGTAACGGATCGAAATCCCTGTAAAACGATCTTTTCCAATAAGACATAGAATTCATCGTGGCTCTAACTTGTAATAACGTTGCGTCATCATTGCAATATGAATATAAGGCGTTTCTCCCCTCGCGAAATAACGATATATAATCAACACGGCAATCATATCTTGTTCCAAACTGATACGAGTCTTCGCCAAGTTTGATGCCTCCGATTGTAATCGAATATAAGCATTTGGTGAAAGAGAAATTCTTTCACTTCATTCAACCTGCCGCTGTAGCAATAAAAGCCTGATCTACAGTGTGCTCTTTGCGTCTAGAAACATTCTATTTTGTAGCCGATACAATACATTTAAAGAATATGTGCAAGTTAATAAATTGTACATTACACATCGTACAATCGTATGCTGTCGACAAATTTTTCATTTGCTTGTATAAAACAAAATACTTCTAGACGCAAAGAGCACTTTGTACACGGAGAGAATTTTCTCTTCAAATTTAGCCTGAAAATCGTGGGACAACGTGGCATTTTGAAGAACCTTATGAGAGTTTTGTGAAAGTTTACCATACATTTTACTAATAAAATGTATACTAAGTATAATTACTAGTGAAACGTATGGTAAAATTTCAAGGAAACTCTCATAAAATTCTTCGAAATGTCACGTTGTCCCACGATATTTTCAGAATAAGTTTTCAAAGAAAATTCTCTCCGTGTAGATGAGGCTTTAAAGTTTAAAGCGATACATTTTTCTTAATTAACTGTCGAGCTGGAAAAAAGGCGGACGCTAATGTATTACGAACCTCTCAAATATATTAGAGAACGTACGAGTCTTCTGCGTTTAAGCCAACCGCGAACGCCGCAAGCAAACCGAGAAGGGGGGATCGCTTGAGGGCCGAAAGTTGGCCTAGGCTGAAAATACTTGTATAAAATATAGTTCGCGTCTCTCGAGCACGAAAACCCGCGCGAGCGTTGAGAGTTCCGTGAGTTCCCGTCGTTCGCGCGGGGATTCATACCACGTTTCTCTAGTCCGAGTATATTTACGAATTATTTACGTGAAATATCGACGTCCGATTAAATTTAACTCGCACCTCCCGAAACATCGCGCGACCAAGTGAACGTACGATCGAGCGATTCCGGCGATTTCCACGTAAATCGCTTTTTTCACTTTGCCGACACGTAACGCTCGCGATCACTTCCTCGATTGTACGCGATTACCAGCGGGCACGAGAGCCGTTCATTTTCGCGCGCCAGCCTCGTCGCGGCCGTTTGCTTTTCACCCGGCCTTAGTAAAAGCCTATTAAGTAACGTAAAGATCGTTCGATCGACCCCGTCGTCTCTAAATCGACCCCCTTTTGCTATTCCCCGACGTGCCTACAAGCGCGAGCGAAGCGTCTCGCGTGGGCGAGGCACACCGTCGCCTCTAACTGTCACGGCCGCTCGCAGCTTAAACCCCTGCCCGAGGATGCGAATCCTGGGGGCCGTTGGCCGGCAGCTGCGATTCCTTCGCGTACACGGAGAGAGTTTTCTCCTCAAAATCACGTAATCGTGGCACAACGTGGCATTTCCAAGAATTTTATGAGTTTTTCAAATTTTAACATACAATTTATTAGTAAAGTGTGTGGCAAAACTTTCAAAAACTCGCGTAAAATTCTTCAAAGTGCCACGTTGTCCCACAATTACGTGATTTTCAGGATAAATTTGAAAAGAAAATTCTCTTCATGTAAATCAAGAATTTTATAAGAGTTTTTCAAATTTTAACATACATTTTATCAGTAAAATGTGTGGCAAAACTTTCAAAAATTCGCGTAAATTTCTTCAAAGTGCCACGTTGTCCCACGATTACGTGATTTTCAGGGTAAATTTCAAAAGAAAATTCTCTCCGTGCACGAATCATTCGATACTTCGGCGCTCGCATACTCTGCTTTATAATTTGGACAGAGCTGTACTTGTACATTTACACTGATAACAAGCGGCCTGACACCTTACTTTAATATAAGATAAGCGTAAGTATCATGCCTTTTTAATACTTGGATCGCAATCTGATCCGAAAGGCATTTCGTCTCTATTTTTCATTATAAAAAAGAGAAGAGAGAGCCTCGGGTAAGTTCGAATTTAATTAAATGCTGCGTGAGACTGGATAATCGGCGTTAGCTGTTGCGCGAACATTAATTTTAGTAGTTTAATTTGCCTTCAAACAGAACGAAAGAAAATACCGAGTTCCAAGATATCAAATTTCCAAGATGTAATAACGTAGCACCGCGAATAAACGATAAAGAACAACCGTCACATCCGCTGAAAATAAGAGCTAAAATTTTAAGTTCACTCCCTGCTATAATTGTCGACGATTCAACGTGAAATTTTTACCAAATGTCACTAAGCTCTGTGTGTTCTCCTATACACGTTATACTCCAGTCCCGATTTGAAATCTCGTTAAAGTAAAGTTCACCCAAAATTAGCGTCGACTCGCCACTTGCCCCCGCGAGGCTGAGCTCGCGAAAAAGAATCTTCCGAACGCGCATAACCCGAGAGTCACCCGGCACTTTTCCCAATCGACGGAGATACCCGGAAAATATATATCGTGTCTACAGCTGCGACTCCGCGTGAAAATCACTCGGCGCAGGAGAAGGAAGCCGCGCTTACCTGCCGTTCCCTCTTGTGACGCGCGGAACTCGGGAAGAAGGAAGTGAAGCGACGTCTCCGGGGCCTGTTTCCCGGCACCTGATCCCTACCGCACTCACTGCACCCACCGAGGCAACGTTCCCTTCCTCGCTCCGCGAAGTCTTCCCACCCTCGCGGCGATTTTTTCCTCGGACGCGCGAGCGGCCGGCCGATTGTTTATCCGACGCGGGTTGCGACAGTCCGCGCGACTTGCATCACGCGCATACACGACGCACGCGGCCACGCGCGTTCACCTACGCGCACGCACGTATTTCTCACCTCGTATATGTATCTCTCTCGGGATTTTTTTTACGAAAAAGGAGCAACGACACCGACTATCGTCTCGATTCTCGAGAAGATCACGCGAGTCGGAGAGACGCTGCGGGTCTCTCGAATTCACTCCGAACGGTATCGCGCGCTGCTGAAAATAACACGGAGCACGAAAAGTCCGATGCAGCAGCCGTCTCTCGATGGACCTCTCGAGTCACAATGGATAACCGAAAGTTCCACTTGGGTCGACGCGGCCCGAGCTAAACCTCGCACACCGTAAACGTGTCCCTCCTAAGAATACAATAGTCCGCGGGAACTTGTCACTCTCTTCCGGTCACCTTTCTCGCCGTGTCCGGTGCCGAGCGCGAGTTTACGCAGCGATCACGTATCTCCGAATCTTGCCTCGCTACTGAACTCCGAACGCGCCGCTAACTATCCCGCGCCACGATATCCGCGAACGCCGCTCGGTCCTACACGTGTCCGCGGTCAAACGCGGAGATAACACATTCACCGCCAGTTTCTCTCCTCCCTCTTCCTCCCTCCCGCCACCACCCCGCGCCGCCCTCGCGGAGCGCGTAAATAGCGCGGGACCCGCTCTATTCACTCCCTTATCTCTTACGCACTTGCTTCCACTTGTCGCGACGACGAGGAGGAGCACGAGGACTCTTGAGGCACCCGCGTGGCCACGGGGCGCGCACCGGAGAGCGAGACGGGACAGCAACCTCGGTCGGGGAGCGCGCGCGCGGAACACTGAGCGCGACGCGCGAACGGCGGCGGGTCTCGGTTTGCCTAGCCTAGCCTAGCCGCCACTAAACGCCGCTATCCTAGGTTAGACACGCTCGCGACACTCTCCCTCTCTCTTTCTCTCGCCCGCGTCCGCTCGTCCGTTCGTCCTCCGTCGCCCCGCTCCCCGCGGCCGCGGCTCGTTCACCTTCCCTCTCTCTCTCTCTTTCCCTCGCGCCCCGCCGTCTCCGTCGACGGCACCGCTCGGCCGCTCGCGTCCTCTCGCTCTCGCCACCTCCCGCGCGATGAATACAGTGCGCTGCGCGCGCGATTCCGATACCGACGGGTGGGAGGGAGGGAGGGCAGAGAGACGAGGAGGAAGGAGAGAGAATCGTAAGGCCATAGCCACGGCCATCGAGTCGCGCGCGCTATACACACGTGCGACAGACGCGACACGCGTACGCGCGCGCGCGCGCGCGGGTGTGTGGGTGAGCCCGCGAGGCGGCCAGCGCGCGAGCGGAGCGTGTTTGGCGACCGTTCGATTCCGCGCATCGAAAATCACGCGCCTCCGTCCCTCTCGCCGTCTAATTACCTCGCGCCTCTCGTTACTCCGAAATGCGCCTGTCAAGGCTACCGCCGAAATCTCAACGCTCGCGGTCGCTCGTCGCGCGTACTTGACTCCTCAACGCCGAAGGTCGGAAAAACAACGGGCGAGAGAGGGAGAGAGAAAATTGCCCTCCGAAAAAACGCAATTTATCGAGAGAACTACGGTTACGCGGCAGTTCCGGGATACCCGGTACAATCGTTCGACCTTATCGCGGCGGTTTCGTAATTAAGTCATAATAATCTCGCAATTAGTCGCTCGTTTTTACGCCGACACTGGCATTATTTTCGTCGCGCGAGAGGCGGGCGCGGGCGCTCGATGACGCGTTCTCGTCCCGAAAGCGCGGCAGGGCACACGTGTGCGCGCTCTTGCGCTCTTCGGAGCGTATCCCGTGCGCGGGGTATTCCGCGAAAATGCACGCGAAATACGTCCTATATTCCGGCCAGATAACGCGCGAACGTAATAACGCACGCGCGGACGACGTGGACGCGCGCACAGCCGCGTAACTTCGTCAGCCAGCGTACGAGAATGCACCCGACGGCCGACAATAATAATCGTAACACAAGAGAACATGCCCGACACGTGTTCTCGTCCAAATCGCCGCACTGAAAAAAATTTCTGGTTGAATATGGACGAATCAGATAATTCCTTTAGGATTTACCAGAATTCCTTTAGGATTTACCAGAATTTCTGTAGGATTACAGGAATTCTGGTAAATCCTAAAGGAATTATCTGATTCGTCCATATTCAACCAGAAATTTTTTTCAGTGCGTAATATTCTTTTCACGATGACGACCACGCACCCTCGGAAAAGATTTCTGTCACCCAGACAAAAAGTATCCTTGACGCATTTCTATTTCTCACAACCTCGTTTAGTATGAAAATAAGGCGACATCAAAATAAGATCAATAATTCGTATTCTCCTCTATAGAATTAAAAAAGATGGACTTACTATATTGACAAGTTGATAAAATTCGCGTGGCTCAAATGTGATAACACATTGGAAGGAATAAAGGACTAATTTCATTCTAAATTTATTGCGCATAAATATCATCTCAGCCAGGGTTTGAGCCTGGACCTCCCTCTCGCTAGGCGGGCGTCTCAACCAATTCGACCACCGAGGCATATGGAAATGTTCATCACAATAAACAGTCTTAATGTTGATCCCCGAATCCCACCTATCGTTACTATATTCAGACAAGAGTAACTTGTATAAATGTAAGTTTATCTTGCGTTTAGAATAAATTTTCCCTCCCTAGTACGTACATACGCCGCTGGATTTGGACCAAAGACATGGCGGGATACCACGTGATCGGGACCGAAAAGATCAAAGACCAACAAAATGTCGGGCACCATAGTGTAGTATGTTCACTCTCTGTCGGCCCTTTAATCTTTTCGGTCCCGATCACGTGGTATCCCGCCATGTCTTCGGTCCAAATCCAGCAGCGCGCGCGCGTGTATGTGTGTGTGCATCCACTTATCAAAACTACACATATACAAAAATTGTCCCATTGGTTGGACCACAAAGATGACGAATGCGCAGTCGACGCACAACCAACCAAATGATGAAGCGGGCCTACTAGTTGTACCATGGCGACGACTTTCGATTCGGCCGCGATTCACGTTCGTTCGAGCCGTTTCGCTTCGAAAGTACCGTAAATCAGATTCCGAGACGCGGTCCCGTTTCAGATCCAGATCGAGAAATATCTCGAAAACGAATTCCGCGGATCGATTCTCTCGCCGGAGTTCACGCGGCGACTCGAAGCGCGCTCCAAAGTCTCGCGAGTCTTACCCTTGTGTTACTTGCGACGATTTTAATAACGGACAGCTACGCCTCTTTTACGCGTGTGTAATACTTTGCAAATTCACGTGGAGATATTCACCTTCCTGCACGTCGTTTTCAAGGTTGCGCGACGCATTTTCCAATTTTCTCGCGAGAAACGCAGCAGCTAGAGACTCGATTGTCTCGGAATTGGGAAATTCTCGCGGCTATGTAACGCAGCGCGACGCTATCAACTCGTTATCACGTATCGCTAATAATACGATGCGTCTGTGAACGTTAGATTAAAGAGTAATTAATGATCGTTTGTAGTCACGCCGACGTGCATGACGTATGACGCGATTCGTTGGTTTGTACCGGACTCGTTGTCTGATGCGCATTGTCGCTTAAAAGGACGGCTTTCGTTTAAAAGGGACGTCTAAAAGAGAGAGAAGCGTCTCGATTGTTTCGAGACGAAAGGCTAAACCTAACATGATGGCTATGCCACAAATAAAAGTTATTTATATTTTAAAATATATCACCGAGAATTGAAAGCAGTTACTTTCACTTGTCTATTTGCGTATAAATAAATTTTTGGATTTAAAGATTCATATTATTAATCTGCCAATAATGAAACTCGAGTGGCTGCTTTGCCGAAATCAAATTTGTGTTATTACGTAAATCGTTTTCGCAATACGACTTCTGTAGAGAAAAAAAAATCTACGTGCTTTAAAAGCCTCAATCTCTACGCGGACTCGCTCGATAGTTTTTACGTAAAAGCCATTCAAATATACAATTTAGAAAATTATTTCCGCTCCGTCCTACTATAAGTTGTCACTCGTCGCCGTCTAACGCTCGATCCGCCGCAGACTGAACTCTTATCTGTGCATTGCCACATCATCGCCGAGGCGGAATATCTTTGTCATAAGAAGTCAAATAAAGCAACGTCGATCTGTCGAACGACGTTCGTTTCCGATACCGTCGTCCACGAGTATCGGCAAAATCGTTTTCCACAAACGCCCGTGGAACGTTCTAATGGAAATCGGTATTCAACGTTGCTCTCATGTCGCCCGTAATTTTTCAAATCGTAATTTACCGATGCTTGTCGCGCGCAGAACCGAGGGAAAGCCTCGCGACGTAGGACCTAGGGCTAAGGGTAAAACAAGTGGTGACACTCGGCGTTTGGCCGGACGGGCCGCCTCGGCGCGATTAATGCAACGTTCACTGCGCAGGTGGCCGACGTGATTGCCACGGATGGCGGAGCGGATTCGCGAGACTTTCTAACGAAAGTGCAAGTGTTTTCTTTCTTTCTCAACCGGCTGCCGCGATTGCTGCGTAACCGTTCTCGTCTCGCGACTTTCGCGCGTTTTCCGCGGTTTCCCGCCGAGGTCGTCGAACGCTTCCGGCTTGCTCGTCGGCCGCGCTTCGATTTTCGCGATCGCGCGCGTTTTTACGCGCCGATAGTCAAGTTCCTCGCTGCACCGGCATTACAAAGCGGAAACGTTCTGTCACGAAGTAGAAGAAGCTTGATTAAAATTACAATTTACGATTTGTCAAAATGCCTCTAGAAATTCGCAAGCATTAAGTACTAAAATCTTATTAAAATAAAACCCGTTTGAAATCAACTACAAACGAACGGGATCTTTGTCACGTACTTTCTGAAATCTCGGTTCAGTTTTCTGAAAGCTTCCCGTTTTTTAAGCATCAATCGCTTGAAAATGCCAACGTCTTTTCGCGGAGAGAATTGCCAGGTTCGAAAAATGAAGGAATAAGAGCTACGCCTTACTTCTTGCTCTGGCAAGAAAGATCCTTGCAGCTTAACACACTCGGAGGACAAACGTGTTCCGCGAGGGGCGTTTACATCCACTCGTTTTAGGAAGTCGACCGGCCTTCGCGGTGATTTGAGGAACGAAGATTTCTAAGATCCGAGCCGAAAAGAACGCGAGAGCGAACGCCCGCGGCGCTCGACCAAGGCCCGAGCCGGCTTCGCCGTGACATAAATATTCGGGGGGGCCTCCAAAAGGGGGCCCGCTCTCGGCGGTCTCGAAAGAGCTGAACTTGAGAACGCGTGAAAAAGGGGAGAGAAGAGTGACGGGGGGGAAATACTCATAATCGTACGGTGGCAATGTGCGACCCTGAGAGAGCAAATTCACCGTCATCCTCGAGAGACGAGACACTTCCTTTCGTCTATTTTTAAGAGTACGCCGTCAGCGTCGCGCTTGTCCGAACGCGGAGTATAACCCGTCACTCTCGTCGGTGATGTAATCAATCCAAAGACGAGCACTAAGCGAAAATTTCAGCCGGCAGAATTTATCGCTTGATACAATCAATATAATAATTACAAACGCAATTTGTTAATTCAAAATGAGAGGTGATTAAGCTAAAAGTATCCGTGCCCCCTTTATCTGCTACTCTAAAATCCAGTCCTCGCACTTTACTGTTTTAACCTCTTTCTTGTATCATTAAAATATTAAAATAATTAAGATCTGCTTAATTGAATTGAATTTAAATAGCAACTTTTAATTTAGAAATGATAATTATGTTTTGTTTCGCTAGTTTCA